AAACCTTTAGCACCAGGTCTCTGCTCTGCCTCAAGAATAAGGATGCGTTCCACAGCATCTACTGCATTCTGGGACAGCGCCTCTTCTCCCTCTGGCCACAGTAATTCTTCAACGTAAAACGATTACATAAATTTAAAACATCACATTGCATCGCTGTTTGCTCGTACACGTACTTTGTGCACGACTCAACTACAACCCCAAATATCTTACCTCTTTGCATAATATGACTAAAGACCAGCTCAGGTGTGTCGTCGTTGAATGGCGGAACTCCCGTAAGGAACTCGTACAAACATACCCCTAGGGACCACCAGTCCACTGCTGGGGCTTAGGAAAAAAAAGATTTTGATCAAATCACCTCAGATAAAGCCACACACTTCTTCGAAAAATAGTCGTGGGATAAGTCGTTACATGTACATCATTTCAACATCCTTATGTTTGCAAGCTAAGGATTTTGTGGTGATTTTGACTTTACTGGTTTGATAAGCCGGTTTATTGTGTGGTTTGACTTCGTTCAAAAATGAAGTGACCGAGGGATCGGGTAAAAAGCGGTCTAGAAATGGAAACTACGAGGTCGAGAAGGTGCAAAAGAAGATGTTTCTGGTGTTTTGAAGGAGATGAAATGAAAAATTATTCGAGAAATAATTTTTCTGAGTTTTCTATGCAACCCAGTTTTTCTAGCTGTAACATTCTGATCTTCTGCTTTTGCAAACGATTGGTTATCCAGAATTTATTAAGTCATTTACTTAAACCCCTCAATTACTCAGAGATGATGTTCTTTCTTACAGTCAAAGTCTTAATGACAGGTAAAAAATTTTTATGCCAAACTTACTGTGCTCATTTCCCAAGAGTATTTCTGGTGCGAGGTAGTCTGGGGTTCCCAAGATTCTGTTCTTGGGTGGCGACGATGTGGGCCGCTTTCCTCGTCTACAAGACTTAGGGGTCCTAAAAGGTGTCCGAATGAGAGGGGCTGAGGTGTGGTGCCACTGGTTGGACACTTCCATGGGGCCTGGGGTACTTTTCAAGCTTGAGCTACTCTGAAAAGTAACATCCATCGGCGATTCAGAAGTTATTGTAACAGGTAAACTAATGTCCATGTGAGAACCTGGAGCCTGAGTGACACTTTTCTCTTCTTCCTCGTGTTCTTGATCGCTGTTCTCAAAAGGGATTGTCATGCAACGAGAGCGACTCGAGGATTCCACCTCACTGTCCCCATGAAAGACTTCGCCTCTGTTCAAATAATCATCTTCACTTGGCTTCAAATTAACGCGCCTTACGTTTTGTTTATTTTCGAAGTCGATTGTCAAACTTCTTTCGAGTGGATGAGAAGGACACGACTCAGAGGAGGACTTATCAATTTCGGCCGTAAAACTAACAGGATGTGATGAAAACTTCTCATTCTCTACTTCATCAGCTGAACTGTTGTCTACATTTCTGTCGCTCACATCTGGTGAAGGTGGTAATACTGCAATCCCGCTCTCGCGCCTCGAGAGGCT